AGTTTGGGAACCCACATTCTCTTTGTTTGGGAAGGCAGCACACCTCACATTTCAGAGCTGCCTTGCTGCCTGCAAGCAGAAGCCAAGGTGTTTATTTTACACTTGCCTCATCGGGAAAATCCTTGGGGTGTGGAGAGGTGAAACGGATCCTCATTTCTGGATCAATCCTAGAGACCTGGTCCAGCAGGTGTGAGAAGCGCAAACCCCCCGCTTTGGCTTTGTACACTGTGCTAAAGCCACGGCTGAGGGCTGGGGCAGCCACTGACTGAAACTGCACCTCAGACAGGTCTCGAAAGCTGTTGACATTCTGACCCAAGAGCGTCACTTCTTTCACTCCCTACAAAATATACAGAGAGGAAGAAATATAACCTGGGCAGGATGGCTGAGCTGCAAGGGCAGCCATGGTTTTACTGCAAGGAGTTTCAAACAGAAGCCCTCCCATCATGGACTATTACAAGGGGAATCCCCTCATCTCTGCAGATAAAGGCACTGGTTACAAGTACCACTGAAAACATTGTTACCAAGAACCACCCTTCCTCCCATGGCTTGGGACAGGTGGGAGGAGGCTCTGCCTCACCTGATCCGAGAGCATCCTCACTTCCTGCAGGATGGAGGCGATGGGGCGGCTCCTTTCCCGGCCTCGGGTGAAGGGCACGATGCAGTAACTGCACATGTTGTCACAGCCCCGCATGATGGACCTGCCCAGAGGTAAAGCACAGGTCACCTCCCTCCTGCAGAACCATCCACACTGCATCCTGCCCAGGATGAGCCCACAACTGCTGCCTGCAGCCAGCTCCACACACACACCATCCACACTGGATTTAGCTTGCCCTGAGCTAACGCCTCCTGATTTTTCATGCACATTTCCAAGAACGCTGGAAAAAGCTAATGAGGCACAGACTGCCACTGCAGCCTGGCAGTGATCAAAGATCTTTCTACATCCCACTCTTGCAGAGTGACACTGTCCTTCCACACACTACAGCCACACTGAGCAGAGTCTGATTTCATGTTTGACAATGTTATCACCAAAACTAAACAATCAGAACTTATAATGTGTGGAGCAGAGAAAAGAAATAGCAGAACCTGGGACAGATGACCACAGAAGGAAGGGGATGAGAGAAGCACGGACTTCAGGAAGAGACAGTGGCACAGAAATCACTCAATGCAGCATGAGGCTGAGAGTCAGCATTCCCAAAGGAGAGGGAGAGAAGTCCACAACAGCCAGAGCTCAAGGCATGCTCTCCAGGGCTCAGTCACACAGCAAAGCAACAGCAAAAACAAACACAAACACACACACACACTCTGGGAGACAGTGCAGCCAGGCACAGCATCTCCTGGGCAGCTGCTGTCACTGACACATCTACTCTGCACAGATTTCCAAACCAGAGCCACGGAAACAAGCACTGGGAAAAGGTACTCACACAAATGCTGTTGTGCCACCTGCACTAGTCTGGACAGGCAGAATGTCAGCATAGGTCTCATCCAGGGACAGCAGGACGTTGGCAGCTTGCTGGCCAGACTCTGCCACTGCCAGCAGCCGGGGAAGATCACGGTAAGCATCAGGGCCTGCCACGACATCGACCAGCTTCTCCCTGTGCAGAATCTCCTCCTTAAGCCTCTCAGCCATGCATCCTGCCACCAAAGGGGAAGGCTCTCGTGAGGCAGTGCTCTCTGTTACTCCCCTGCAGCCCTTCCAGCTGCTTTCACCCCAGGCCAAGGGGGCTGCTGCCAGCGGGACTCAGGCCATGCAGCCCGGCTGTACCCAGGATGCCGACGCGGAGCGGAGCTCGAGCCTGGGGCCGCCGGGCCTTCAGCGCCTTGAGGTGCTGCAGACGGTTCCAGATGGCCTGCTCTGCCTTCTCCCTGGGGAGCCAGCACAACGGGCTATTGCAGCTGCTGCCCTGCTCTGAGCCCCAGCCTGAGCGCCCCAAGGGCTCTGTCAGGAGAATTCAGCTAAAGCAGGGAATCTAATGGCACGTGAGAGTGCGTTTGTGGTGTGCGGATTATGTCTTGGCTCTGTCTTATCTGGTATCACTTTGCTTGCCTGAGAGCATCTCCACTGCAGAAACACTTTAGGGACTAAGCTCTTGGGGAGAAAAAGTGCCTTGGCCACACTACAAAGTACCCTGCAATAAGCATTTGGTGTCTTCTGCATTCAGAAAAAACAAGGAAAGTTCCCTTCTTATCAAGTTGCCCCTTAATATATTTCTCACATTTTTAAGTACAGACACTGTACTAGAGAGTTGCTTCAAGAGAAGACAGAATATTTTAAAATAAAATCATTAATTGTGCATGTCTCTCACTGCCCATGGCATATACACAGAGATTACACTACCAAAGAACTTCTCACTACCCAGAGAAGCAATTCATAGCACAATTAATGTTGTAAATCATAGCACCAGCCAGCCCTACCCTCAACTAAATAGCCAGTTTTATACCTGCATACTCCTTTCCTCATGCAACATCTTTATTGCTTTGGTTTTCAAATGGTAATTCCTTAAAAAGTGTCCCAAACCAGTAACAAACATCTCCTTACCTCACGGAACAGGTGACAAGAAGAACAACATCTGCCTAAATCAAAAGCAACAAAAAGAGAAGAATCTATCAAAACCAAACAATAAGTTCTCATGCCCTGCCCAGGTAACCTAAAGATGTAGACTCTAAAACTCACTTAACTCAGGGAAAAAGACCTACATGAGTACACAGAAGATTTCAACAAAAAGAGTTGCAAGAAAGAAACAGAAGACAAGCAGAGTTTTCACTAAATGGTAAAAGTAAACTCAAAGAGGAGACAGGAGGATCCTGCTGTGTCCAATCCCTCTCCAACTGAGACAGAGCCCAGTAGTTTAAAGAAAAAAGACAACCCACAGCTTTCTAGCACACTTGTTAAGCAGTTTCCTTCACTTCACAGAACTCAGACTGCAAACCGCCTAACATCCCCCAGGGTTGCACTCCAGAGAAAAGCTGGGACTTGCAGGCACAGCAGGGCGTGAGGGCTGGGCTGCAGGAGAGCTGCCAAGGTGCTGCCTTACCTCACCCAGTTCCTTTGTCCTGGCATAGCCATTCTTCTGCAGGATGGCCCAGACGATCTCGGTGTCGCTGACGTTCATCTGGCAGCCATAGGTCTCCAGGTACACTGCAACAAAGGCCGTGTGACACAGAACCTGCTCAGCTCCCATCCACAACCCGTCCTAGCCCCTGCTCTGCGGGAACAAGCCTCAATCCCACCACCGGAGTCAGGGAAGCAGCACAAAAGCTGCCTGCACCTGCAGCCCACAAGGGATAAACAGAAGGGCAGGCTCTGGGAAACTCGTGTGCTCTGCAACACGGCAGGGCTGGGCTGTGACTGCACAGCAGCAGCAGCAGCTGTGTCCTTACCGAGATACAACACTCGGGGCAGTGAACACCATCCCCGCCAGGGCACCACCCGTGCCACAGCCCCACTGACAGCCCAGCACACACTGCGGGCAGGCGCCTGAGCAAAAGGCTCTCTGCCCAACTCCGTGGTGGTAGAACACACACGACTTTGCAGCCAAGAACTAAACTCCTTCTAGCGTCAAAACCCCCTCAGGGCCCCAAAAGCAACCAAACATCCCATTTTCCCCACTCTGCTCCGACTGGGAAGCACCACTGTCTGCACCGGCCTTACGGCTGCCCTTGACCCGGCAGCGAGGCCACAGCAGGGGGTTCGGCTGACCCAAACAGCTCCGACCCCGAAGACCCACAGACCTTTCGGGGCACCGTGGATAGAGCCCGGCTCAGGC